CTGTTGTCGCCCTGTTGATGACGTCAGCGACGCGGTTTAATCGGGCGCGCTTTAGTCGAGCGCGGTTTTGTTGTGCCACGCTGTCCATAGACGTCTCCATGGTCATGTGGATAGCATGACTAAACACCGAAGGTGCACGAAATGCTGTTACCTTCCCACCAAGGTGAACCCTATTTTTCTACTTGCATTTTTTACGTGCTTTCAAGCTGCTAAGTTGGCAGAAGCTGAGATTATTTCACTGTATTATTTGTAACTTTAAAAGAAACCCAGAGTCTGTTATAGAAGCAGCCAGAAAACAAATACATGAACCTTAAACTTAAAATCATCACAAATTAATGAACATGACAAAAAATAACACGGACTGATATTAGTGCGAGCCATCTACTAGAATGCTATAGGTAACCGGATGCTTTATACGATTCAATATGTTTTTTCGCTCAAAGTGTTTTGTTTAATTATTTTATCAATATCTGCCCATCTGTTAATGTAAAAATATTCCATTTGGCTTAAATGGAAAAATAGCAGATACAACAAAAACAAATCTCAGTCTAAAAGCAGCAATTAAAAAAGCTTCAGGGTAAAATTTACTCATTTTCAAAAATAAGCAAGTTAATCTGGTAATGGAAACATTTAGAAACTAGAGATGTTTCCTCCAGGGGGTGTCCATAAATATAAACAAGGAACTCTAAGGACTCTAGCATCTGCTAGGTAAAATACAAGGACACACACCTTGCTAATTTTTTTTTAATTTTTCAGATTCTTTTTAATTTAAACACATAATGTGAAGTTAGCATGCTGCAAGCAAAGCAAATTGCATTATCATAATTTCCAGAAATGTTCCTGGATCCACAATTATCCTGAAGGGATTCTCTGCTGTCTGATAAAGGAGTTTTATGCAGGGGTGGGATTGAAAAATGTTAGCGACTGGTTCTCTGCCCGGTTGCTCCATAGGCGTGGCCATGGTGGGCGTGACCTACTTGGCCTCCTGCATCACGATTCGGGGAGGGGGTGTTTTCGCCCTCTCCAGGCTCCAGAGGTTTTTCTCAAACCTCCGGGAGGGCAAAAACTGCCTGTTTCTGAACTTCCAGGAGGCCTGTTTTTCACCCTTCCAGAGCCTCCAGCAGGCCCTGCACTTACCTGGAATGAACAGGCCATGTGGAGACTCCTGGGAGGGGGAGAGGCAGGGTGGGTAGGGCCAGCCAGTTGGCGAACCAGATGTAAAATTAACATCCGGTTCATCTGAACCAGTCCGAACCAACCAGCCATGCCTACCCAGCCAGAGAACCAGTTGTTAAGTTATTCTAGTCCCACCACTGAATAACATATATTGTTCTGTGTGTCCTGTGATAATTTCCAGAAAACTCCAAATAATCCCCTTTGGGTGACTTAATTATAGGGTTTTTAATGGAGGTATAAAGTCAGCCTTCTATCCCTACTTACTTATGGTAGTGAAGACACTTGTAAAGCAGAAGTAATTCACGGCATTGAGAGAAAGAAGGTGATAGAGAAATTGTTCCCGCTCTTCTTCACAACGCAGGAAGGCATAACGCTTGTAGAGTTTCCTGCAGGGAGTAAGAAATATCTTTTTTTTTTAAACATATTTTTTATTTTCATAACATACAATCACATGTATACTATACATAGCCAGTATCATATAGTAATAAATAATGATTACATCAGTTCCTCTTGTCATCAACGCCCCAAAAAATAAAAACCCATTATTAGCTCTTCTGCTCTCTATACACCTCTTTCTTCTACCTCTCTCGTACTTTCTATCTTCCTCCATCATCCTTTCCTACTCTACTTCCCCTTCCCTTCTCCT